CCCCAAAACCCCAAAACCCCATATGATGATATTTATTTCTTAAAAAAATCTCATTAAAAAATAATCAATCTATTTAAATCACAAAAAATATAGATTTGAATTGACATAAGTGGGAATATCTCTCATGCATTTAATTTTTTTAACTATCTTACACACTCCATTGTCTTATTTCGCTTATTTATCATTAAAATAATCCATTTCACTTGCCATTTCATTTACATTTACTTAATGAACACATATTCCTTTCATCTCTAATAGCAAAAGCACCTCATAATCTTTATCTAAATAGTCAAAAGCCAAATTACCATATCTATCTCTAACACACATTAGTTATTTCTACTTAGCTGGGTCATTTTTGCATCCATCTTAGAGTATGCAAAGAGCTATTTACTTTTTATTGAGTTTTATGGCTGAATGCAGAATAGTACATCCTTGTTGATCCATACTCATCACATCATAGCTCTAGTCTGTCAATAAATATCTCAGTAGGCCAATGTCTTAATTATATACTGCGTAGAATAATGCTTTCTCATTATGTGCTTTTTGATTTGAAGTTTTACTTGACATAATCGAAATGGAGGATTTACTTCTCTTTAATTTTACAGTAAGCATCTTAGACTCATTAATTATCTTATTCTCTGACTTTAAACAGCTGAAGTCTCCTCTCTTTATATGTCGAATTCTTTTATCTCTGCTACTACTCTGATTTTGATCAAAACCTGATGCTCTATTCTTCTCTCTTTCTAATTCCTTAATTTGCTCTACTCTACATAAATATAAACGTTAATTAAAATAAATACTTCTAGGTAAGCTCTTGAAGAACTACTCTTTTAGTCTTATTAATGTTGGCTTTATCACTGTTGAGGGCATAGAAATATTTTCGCTTTATAACAAATGTCCTAAAAGCAGACTGGATTTTAGCAGCAGCTCTTATCAGTTTCTAAAGACATGCTTATATTATTATAATTCTTACTTTCAAATCTTGGGCATCAATCCATCTCACGTAGCTTTCCAAATTTTTTGCATTAATAATTCTCGGAGGACCTCCTGTAAGTAAAGTGCTTTGAGATAGGGGTCTTATTAATTTAGGGGCAAAGTAGTTTAATTCTTATTTCGATGGGATACCTGATTACATGTTCTTTAAAAATTATTGTTTATGATCCACATTTACAATCGAATTCGATTTTGAGATAAGTCTACTGCTAGATAAGTTGTTCCCAATTGAGCTACCTAACGCACTTGTAATAGTTTTTGATAGATTATCTGTATTGTTATTATCTTTTATAGTCTCAGCATCTGCCTCAAAGTTTCTAGATCTTTAAAGTTTCTACTATAATCTGAATTTTTTCAAAGCCTCCTTCCTAAAGTCAATGGAGCTACGAGATTTAACCATTAGTCTATTGTGTAAGTCTTAAGGTATCATAGTGTTTTCCATCTGGTATTTTAAAAAGTTATTTACTCTAATCACAGTTTTCTATGAGTCCTAGAGTGATTTTTGCATTTTTTAGACCTTCTCTTGGGCTTTGAGTATCTTTTTGGGCTTAATAAGGAGCTTTTAAGACTCCTGAATATGATAAGCCTCATTTAATTCACCTAGATATGTCTTTCTATCATACTTCAACCTAACATAATAAATTATGATCAATTTACTATTTTTGAAGTCCTTGGTATTTGTCAATAATCTTTTCTGCAATTTCGTTTTCAATACTATCAATCTCATCCTTGCTGAGCTCTCGCAACTTTTTGTCTAGCTCTACCTTATCAGTGCTCTGTTTAACAAAATCACTTCTCATTATAATCTATACATAAGCACTTATTTGCTTGAAAAATTATTTACCTTTCTAACCTGATCATAATTGAATCTCTTAAGTTTTTTATCCTCAGTCGTATTGACATCATTAAAATTATTGGAACTCTGCTTATATTCCAATTCATATTATCTCTCTGAGTCTAGTTTTTCCCAAGCTTTATTACCTTTCCTAACTGCGAGAGTTGTGACATCATCATACTTATCCCTCCTTGCTCCAGGCATTTCATTCATTCTTTTCTTAGCAATTTTCCTATACTCCCTGTACTAATTTTCTAGTTCAGGGTTCCATTCCTTCTTGTCATCATCATTTTACAGCATATCTCTAATCTTCTAGCCTACATCCAAGGCAAAGCTTGACTTCTTCATGCTAAGAGATTTCGCACTCTTTGCTTTTTTATTCCAATTCTTCTGTCCTTTCAATCTTTGATTTTGCAAATGCTGCCTCTATTAGATGAATCTCTCATAGTCTTTCTTTAACTAAGCATCCCTGTACCTTATATCCTTCATTTCTTAAGCCTTTAAGCGTCACTATGCTTCATCTATTTCCTCTTAAGTTATAGGATTTATTCTAATATGAACACCTTAAGTTACTCTACCTGCAGGAACTGAATCATTTAGTTGCTTGAACTAGGACTTTTCAAGGCTTTTCAAGTACTATGACTTACTCACAGACTGAACTACAGCTGCTTTTGACTGTGCACTTGCCATTGTGTTATCTTAGTTTTATTCAGTGATCCCTAATTACCTTAGTCTGTCCATTCTAAATCCTGTCATCTCCATAAGATACTCCTGCATGACAATTTGTCTTTTCATTCTACTTTTGTTCAGCTGATCGATTTACTCCTAAGTCACTGTGACATTGGTACCATCTTTAAAATCATTCAGTTTTTCTTCTAGTAGGAAAGTCTTCAGTTTCTTCTCCAGAGCTTTATGCTTAGTCTGCAACTAAATGATATCTTTAGTTCTCTCTTATGACTATCTATCCCCCAACTCCCCGATGTTTTTGTTAAACCTATCAATGTTAGTCTAATGCTCTCTCTAGGTTTGATCTAGTTAACTTAAGTCATCCCTGATTTTCTTCTCCATAAATTCTAAAATCTTCAAGTCTCTTTCATCTCTATTTTCGATACCAAAGATTTAGTTTGGTAGTCCGAAAGTTTTTTTGAGTTTAGCATAAACTTCTAATTTAGAAAATTTTCAACGATTTAGCACAGAGTAGGAGTTTGAACGTCCTTGATTTTTTTAATCTTGTTATTGAGGAGCTGGACTACCTTAATTATGAGAGGACACTTATTGTTGAGCAGTGGACTGAGAAATATTCAATAAGCCATAAGAATTTCTTCTGTTTGGAGAGTCATCTGGTTACAGATGCTTGCTTACATTGCTCAAACGTTTATTTGAGTCTGTAAATTTTACAACTGAAAAAACTTTATTCATTTATAAAAATTATATTATCAATATATTTATTTGTTTTTTTTATTTTATTATTAATAACAATATTTTAATTGGGGTTTTGGGGTTTTGGGGTTTTGGGG